CACAGTATACCTGCCTCTCTGAATGCTCATCCATGTCGCTGAGTTTGTATGTGAACACGCATGTTTCTCTGTGTATATGTGTGCATAAATGCATGCATGCCTTTGTGTCTATATGTATATGTGTGTGCATGCCTGGATAAGTAGCCACTTGGTTTCAATAGCAACTTAAGTTAATGATTGCTCTGTGTTTTCCTTTGTTTTTGTTGTTTTAATGTATTTAGTATAGTGACGATGATGAAATTAGTGGAGTGACACAAGGAGACAGACTTCGGGCCCTGAAAAGTCGGAGACAATCAAAAGCCAACACTGTTCCCCTCACGTGAGTGGTTTCCTTCACTGTGGGTCCCTTGTGGACATTTTTCCTGAGTACTTTCCTCCCTAGCCGCACACCTGTTTGCAGTGACCCCTTGTGTGATTTAAAATCTAGAGGTGCTCACCTGGGAAGTGCTCAGAGGTTCATTTATCTCTGTGTTTTCTTGTAACCTCAGGAGCCATGATAGGTAAGAAGGCAATATTAGGAAAACTTCTGTCCTCAAGAGAGTAACAGCAGTTGTCAAGACCCAGATAACAGAGTTGGCCATCTTTTTTAAGATGGTTACATGTCAGTCATCAGTCTGCACACAGTTGCCGTATGATATCTAAAATGATTGTATCATCTCAGGGTAATGATTAATTCATCCCCAAATTACGATTTTATAATTCTTTTTGTCAGGAGAATTGAGTTTAGTACAATAAGAAGTCTGGGAGTTAGTGGGTGTCTTTAGCCCAACACGAACTACAGGGGACATCCACAATTATAGTACAAATATAGGGACTCAAACTATGTAGCAACATAAAGCCCTGTGTGAATTTGCAATGTCATTTCTGACTTTAGGCATCTATTAAGCAATCTCCTCATTAAAATGGTGCCTTTTATATCATTTATTTTATATAAACAAGTAGATATATAGTGTATGGGGTATGGTAGCTTCAAATGCCATGTTTTTTTAAATTTCATTAAGGTTTTTCTCTGAGGCTTTAGTTATTTTCATTCACAAAATATAATCATCCTGAAACTAATTCTAGATCTGATGGATGAAGGAACCATGCCTCTAAGCAGCCTGCCACAGACCTAGCTAATCTTTTGAGTCATGTGGAGCTTACCTTATAATGCAGCTTCTTGTTAGAACTTCTGGGGTGGGGTCTGAGAGTCTTATTTTCTAACAAGTCTCTTTGCCTGCCACTTGCTCCTGGCGAGGGGCAGAGGGCAGGACTCCCTTTGAATTGCAAAGGATTGCACACACTTTTGGTGTTTAAGTCTGTCTGTCTATTGTCAGTTTATTTCTTTTCTTTTTTCCTTTCTTTTTTGTTTTTGTTTTTATGAGACAGGGTTTCTTTGTGTAGCTTTGGAGCCTCTCCTAGTGCTCCCTCTGTAGGCCAGTCTGGTCTCAAACTCACAGAGATCCGTCTGCCTCTGTCTCCCAAGTCCTGGGACTAAAGGTGTGTGCCACCACCACCTGGCTCAGTTTATTTCTTAATTGGTTGGTTTTTTGTCCCCCCCCCCCCCACATTCAGAAGCTAGGTTAGGAGTTAGGGGATACAAATTCTGCTTGGTCAAAAGTACTTGTTATCGGGGCTGGAGAGATGGCTTAGTGGTTAAGAGAACTGGCTGCTCTTCCAGAGGACTGGAGTTCAATTCCCAGCACCCACATGGCAGCTCACAGCTGTCTGTAACTGCAGTTCCAGCAGATCCAGCATCCACACATGTCGGGAGCCAAGACATATATGCAGTCAAAACACCAATGCACATTAAATAAAAATGAATAAATTATTTTTTTAAAAAAGTTCTTGTTATCAGCTAGAGAGATGTCTCAGTGGTTGAGCATGTTTGCTGTTTTTTCAGAGGCCCCAAGTTTGGCTCCCAGCACCCAGATCAAGTAGCATGCAACCACCTGCAAACTCTCACTCCAGAGAATCTCTGCTCTCTGCATAAAATTCCCTTTTTTTTTTTTTAAAGTTTTTGCTAAATAGAACTTTCGCTCTATTCAGAAATATGTTTTCTGGAGCTCAAATTATTGAGTGATCTCTTCCTTAGGGAAGCTGAGGTTATGCAATTCATAGCATGAAGACTAAAATGTAAAGAACTGGCAGATGATTTCAGATGTTCCACCACTCAGCAGCCTACGTGAGGCTGTCTGGTCTCTAGAAATCTGATCTCAGTAATAGCTGGATGATAGCAGCTGGAGGGTTTGGGTAGAGCTCAGTGGGAGACTGCTTGCAGGGGGCTGGAATTTAATTCTCTTCATTGCTGGAAAAGGAAGGGAGGGAAGGAAGAAAAGAGAGTGAGGGAGAGGAGGCAGCTAGAAAAGACTAGGTGAAAGGGCTGGGTTTCTCTGCAGACATTTGTTTAGTTACACCCTTCTCCCACCAGGGTTGAAAAAAGGACAAAAAGAATGATGGGTGCTGAAGCATTCTCAGAGTGAAACTGGAATTTTAAAAGAACAGCTGCACTCAATTGCACTCAGCAGCACCATAGCATTCTGAGCCATCTGACCTTTAGGACTGGCTTGTTAGTAACTAATTCTTTTTGTATTAGTTACTTTCCTATTGCTGTGGTTAAAATACCAGAGGGGGATGTATAATTCATTATGGTGGAGAAGTCAGGGCATCAGGAGACTGAGGAGACACCTGGTCACAACACATCTGACCATGTGTGTGTTCTCAATCCACTTTCTCCTTTTTTTGCGATGGGTCCATTCACAATGGATCTTCCATCTTGGTCTAATCTTAGATAACCCCTTGCAGATGTGACTTGTCTCTTGGATTCTCTGTATTTTGTCAAGTTGACAGTATTGACCACCAGATTGCCTACTACTCTGTGTGCCACTATGTACGTTAGATTTGTAGGAAAGAATGCATGGAGGGTGAGTTGTAGTTGTATCCTGCATGGTCATAAGGTAGAAACATACAATTATTTTTGAAAAATCACTTAAACCCAACAGTGCATAAGAGATAAGTGAACATTTCAGCAAGGAAAAATAACTCTTAGGCTTTGAGTTTTACCAGAGGAATAGATGAAAATCTACAGACTCTGTTTGCATGCCACTCCCAACTAAGATGACATTGTGGTCAGTGACTAAGTCGGAAAACTGTTGAGGAAGACTGGCATTGATGTCTGTTTTCTACACACATCCACACATATATGAATACATACAGGATTTGCACATGCACGCACACATGCACACACAAAACACCAGGCCAAAACTGGGTATGTGATACACACTTGTAATCCTAGCCCTTAAGCACTTGGAAGATGGTGGCAGGAAGATCAGAAGTTCAAGGTCATCCTCAACTACATAGTAAGGTCAAGGCCAGCCTGGGCAGTAGGAGACATTGTCTAAGAAAGAAGGGAACAAGAAGAGAGGGGAAAATAAATATCGAGTTTTTAATGTGTAATAGTTACTTTTCCATTGCTGTGACACCATAATAATGGAGGCAACTTATAGAAGAAATGGTTTATTTGGGCTTACTGTTCTTGGGATTTAAACAACTAAGGCTGTGAAGGCCATCTCTTTCAAATCACCTCTGGTAGTATAAAGAAAATAAGGAAACATACATAGTGTGACCACAGTAGTGACGATGATGGCTTCTAGTTAGGCATGCTTCTGTAATCCACACTGTTCACTTGAACTCCCAACTGAGGAAGGAACTCAGTTCCCATTTCATAGTCACGCCTCCTTTGTCAGACAGTCTGTGGGTTGTTTCTGCTTCCTTTTCTCCCATGCTCAGGTGGAGTGTTTTGTATGAGCATAATGTATATTTGACCACGGCCAGCTTAAGTATTGTCAGTCAGTATGGTGGGTTGGTTATCCGGCTACAGATTGAGTCTAACCATTTGTTCCTGTGTGTTAAACTAAAGTCAGCATTTTTGTCTCAACAGAAATCGGACCATCACCACCACCACCTTTGTTTCCCGCCCCTTTGCCATCACAGTTGCTGCTCTGGGACTTTTAGGGTGTCTTAAAGCCACAGGTGGCCCTATATATTTTATTACATGACTTATTTTGGCTCCCCTATGTGAACATCTGTTCTTTCCCCTTCCGTCCTTTCCAGATGTCCCCTAGCTGTGCTGACCTCTGCACTGTGTAGTGTTGCCATCTGGTGGATTGTGTGTGACTACATTCTTCCCACCCTGCTGTTCTGTCTTGATGGCTTCAGAACACAGTAGCCATCCGGACCCTTTGCAGATAGTTTGCTGTGTAAGTTTCCTGTACCATTTCTCTCATGCCTTCCCTCCCCCGTTTTGTCCAGCGTGGTTCTCAAGGTGCATGTGTTTCTGGTTCTCAAGGTGCATGTGTTTCTCCTTCTGGCTCTCCTGTTTTGGTTTGCTTATTTTCCAGGGTCCTCTTTCTGAATCTTTTCAGTGAATTCGATGGTAGGAGCAGGGGAGGTCCTCAATGATTCTTTTAAGCCAAGGATGTTAGAAAATAGCACCTGTTGTTTTGAAAGTTTTACTAGTTATTTATAAATGTGGGCATTGGAACAGTTTTCTTTCCTGTCAGAAATGTTTAGGTAGTTGGGCTAATTGGTCTGGTGTCCTACTGTGTGCGCCTTTCGAGTTCTGTACCTGAAGAATCTCCAGTCAGAAGGGTTTTCTCACAGTTTCTTCTCTTTCTGTACCTGAAGAATCTCCAGTCAGAAGGGTTTTCTCACAGTTTCTTCTTTTACCAGAGATAGGGTTTTGTAGCGTTGAGGGCTCGTAAGGACTGTGGTCTGATTTCTGCCCATAGAACAGAACAGCTCTCTTCAAGTCACCTGTCTTTGGTCTGTGGAACCATCCACTCTCATGACACAGCATCCTCTGTGTTAAGTAAGAATAGGAGGCAGGGAGTTGGCTGTCTCCTTTTTGCTCATGCAGTCTCTGGATTCTGCTTTCTTCCTTCCTTAAAAGTAGCTAGACCATCTTTATTAGATTACATACACATGCTTGTATTCTCTTGAGATCCATCATCTTCTTTTCAGCAAAATGTGGCAGGAAATGCCTGTGTGGAACACCACAGTTAAGGCCCACATAGGGAGACTGTGTCTCACAACAACATTCCATATCTGTTTGTTTTTTGTAACCTTTCTTCTGTTCGTTCCAAAAATGACTTTTCTGGTTGTGCTCGGACATAGACATTACCGAAGCATGCAGAATTCCCTTCTAGGATCTCTTTCAAAGTAAAAGTACATTGCAACTAACCCTGGCCCTTTGTGGTTCTGTTGAGTGCTTTCATATGACTGAGATAAATGAAAAATGAATCGGAGTCCACTCTTTAAGAAAGAAAACCCACTGAACACATTTTTACTTATGGCATTTCCTTGAATATCTTAGGTGAGTTTATAGTCTCATATTCACCCAGGCTTCTGTAGAATATTTGTTTATTTACTTATTTGTTTGTTTATTTCTCCTTTCCCATCTATTGACTGAAGAGCAGTGATGTGTTTTATGGTTTATTTTTCTCAGACTGTTCCAGAGGGCCCAAGATGTTCTGAATGGGTGGAATTGCTGCTAATATTTGTCTTCAGGCTTAAATATCTTCATCTTTTTTTTTTTTTGAAGATTTTATTTATTTATTATGTATACAACATTCTGCTTCCATGTATATCTGTACACCAGAAGAGTGCAACAGATCTCATAACAGATGGTTGTGAGCCACCATGTGGTTGCTGGGAATTGAACTCAGGACCTCTGGAAGAGCAGTCAGTGCTCTTAACCTCTGAGCCATCTCTGCAGCTCCAAATGTCTTCATCTTAAATGTTGCTTCTGCTGGGGATTTCCTCCTTAGTTTCCTCTGCAAGAATTAGGTCACCTGTAGCTAGTGCCACCACCACAATTCAGGACCTAAGCTGGGCATTCCATTTAGCCTGCCTACTGATTTGAACTTAAAAAAGCAAAAACCTTTCTGTACCTGAGGCAAGTAACAAGTGGGATCTTTGTAGCCACTAGTTCCTAGTCACTTTCTTCCTAAGAGGCTTAATTTGTGGGTGACAGTTCACTTCTCCTTTGTGATTAGCCATTGCTTCGAGCTGGTGAGAGAGCCTTGCCTATCAACCATCAAGAATCCATTAGCCAATGGCCTGGAGCCTATGACCAGAAAGCATTTAGTGTTCTATGTCTAGTGCATGCGTGGAGGACAGTGCCACTAGAGAAAAGCTCTTTGGCAGTGGTCCCTTAGAAAGCCATCCAGGAGTTTGGAGGCTCAGCGGGACACACTTGGTTCCTCAGGTTTTTTTTTTTTTTTTTTTTTTTTAAACTTGCCTGCTTGTCTCACATTTTCACTGTCCAAAATCTGGAACTGCTAGGGCTCCAGAGACACCACAGAGAAGAAGGCAGTGGTCTACAGTGTGGGCACAAGGGGAGAAAGACCAATGCAAATTTCACTGGGGAAGACAGAGAGCAGAAAAATGTATATTCTGTGTATTGCTTGGGAAAAGCCATGTGAGGAGGGCAGGTGGCAGAGGGAAACACTTGAGTTTGGCTTCCTCACCCTGTCTGAATCAGTTTAGCCTCTTGCTGGTAATGTAGCAAGTATAGTTAGTCCTGGAGCTTTCCCACTGTATTTATGTGCTAACTGCCCACTCAAGTCAGACAACCTGACACTTCCCTGGTGTGATTAATGTATACTAAATTTCCTTCTGAATTTCAAAGCCCCACAGAAATTAGTAACCACTATATTTCACATTCATTTACACTATTTTATAGAAAAGTTAATGCTCTAAAGATACATTTTCAGTCAGCCTATGGAATACTCTTTTTTAGACAGGGTTTCTCTGTGTAGCATTTCGAGCCTGTCCTAGAACTAGCTCTTGTAGACCAGGCTGGTCTTGAACTCACAGAGATCCGCCTGCCTCTGCCTCCCAGGTCCTGGGATTAAAGGCGTGCGCCACCACAGCATGGCTTTGAAATACTTTTTGAATTGAGTTGTAGTTCTTTGTTTTGTGTGGCACTTAAACTTTCAGTAATTTAAGAATTCAGGAGCAGAGCAGATTTCCTGGGTGGGTTTTTTTTTTTTTTTGGCTAATGACCTTATAGTATGGTGGTTACCCAGGCTTTTGACCTCAGACTCTCTGAAATGGAGGAGTGACATTTCAGAAAACCCTAGTCTCATTTTTCTCCTTTGTCAAGAAGCAGCAGAGGAAAACCAGCTTTTCACACTGCCCAGAAACTTAGAAAAATCAGATGGATTTGGTACCTTTCTAGATTCATATCCTCAAGAAAGATAAATAAATATTTCCTCCTAGATTTGTATTAGCAGAAAGAAATGTTAGCAGTTGGATGGGAGAAGTAACATTAATATTCTGTATAGCCCAGTATAGGGTAACTGTGATTAACAACTAAAAGAATTTTTTTAGGAGAGGGGGCCTTGAAGGGGACCAGCACTAGGGATGATAAAGGAGGCACTGGCTGCCCCAGCCAGCTACTCTGTCTTATGTTACACATTATATGCACATATATAGCCCTCATGCCTAATAAACCCGCACAATTATTATATGTATACCAAGTTGTTAGGTCATTTCTTCAAAACTTCACTAAACCCTGTTTTAGGGAGCTGGGTTCATGTCTTAGGGCAATTGGATCCTTCTTGTGTATGCACCTGCTGTTTGTGCTTAAGAGTATTTCAGATCAATTTTGTGACATGGGCTGATTCAGTCAGGGCTAGGTTGCCTTTAAATTTGCAGAGCTTTCAGAACAGTGGTGGGCCACAGTGAAGTGTTTGGCTGCCTTTACTGTGGGTAATCCACCATCATCAGAACTTGAACCTTTGCTACATTGGAATGACCAGTAGTTGTCAGTCACACTGGTCATGACAGGCCCATGAATGAAGCAGGCCCCTCCTTAGTTGAAATGACTTATGTTTACTCTCTGGAGTTGGGCTCTTACAGATTGTTATTGGCTCTCCTGATTGCAGTTTGACTCCTAAAGGAGGAAGCTTTTAAATCAATGTTTTCTCCTTCCTCTAGCAAGTATTGATGGCAATAAATGAATGTGTGTGGTTCTGAAGCAAAGACTTACCTCCAAACATCTTGATGTTTTCTGCTATTTTTCCTCTGACAGTTTAATGAGAATTACTTAGGGAGAGTGTGCTTTGTGGCCTGTTCTCTCTGATTATGGTTTTTCCTCCTGGGCAGTCTTCTGTCATGGGAAGGCTTTAGATTTTGGTTAAGAGAAGTTTCATAGCATTTAAGTGATTAAAGATTTTGTAAATAGTTATGAAGCAGACAAAACTGAAATTTTGCTTGAATGTTATTAAAATTTTCATTGGCATATAAAATTATTATTACTTTGCTGTTATATCTACCTTCTGCTCTGACCATTGAATATTATATAGTTGATTTGCTAAGTTTATATTAAAACACTTTAAAATATTGGATTTATGACTTGACTTTGTGAATGAAATCCAAGACTCTGCTTTGACAGGTTTGACTAATAGATTGCTTTGGTTTGTGAATTGCATAAAATGCCAGGTCATTCATTTCCCAAAAGCAAAGCACCCTGGTCACCTCCGAATAACCTTCAAAGAAAAATGAGGTGCTTGTTATAAAAATGCTCTTCAAGGTTGGTTTTTGTGTGTAAGTGGCAAATGTGATTGTGGAAAATTCTTCCATTTGCAAAGCAAATAATTATACCAAGGTGCAAAATTGCCTTCCTTTGTCAACTATTTAAAAGTTGTTTTAGTGAATATAATCTTACCTTTTTCCAACTGTTTTCAGAGTAATTCTTCAGTCCAGTGTTCAGAGCTGTAAAGCCCCTGAACCTAACCTTTCTGGCAGTGCAGGCATTACTAAACGAACCACCAGATCTGCTTCGGGGAAAAGCAGTCTTAAAAGGTGAGAAAAGAGTCTTACCCGGGAAGGTCCCGTTTGATTCTGGTTTGTTTACTCTTTTGACCCTGCTTCTGGGACTGACGCGAAGATAGGAAGGTGAAGGCTCTGTGATAAGAATGGAGGCTTGTGTGTTCCTGGCTGTCCAGAGGAAATTCCTCATGTTGGAAATGTGGTCTCTGGCATGAGATGGGAAAGTTGATGTGGGCAGGCTGAGGGCGTTACCCTAGGACTCTTCCGGAGTGCTCCATCGGGAGGAAGCCCCTTCATGTCTGTCGGGTACAGCTCAGTGAGTCCCGGCAGAACCTGATGCCCGTTCTCTGGCCACAGCCCTGTCCGAGACCTGCTTCCTCTTTTGTCTCCTCAGTTGTCACTTCTTTCATTACGATTGCTCTGTTGAGAAAATTTTCCAGTGTCTCTGGATTTTTGTCACAAACCAAAGGCAAGCGTGTAATTCTTAAAATATTCTGAGACCCAGCCCCCGATGAGGGAAGAACAGACCACACCGTTGCTGTTTCCTAGCCATAGAAAGCAGGCGCTCTCGTGTCATCACCTGGCATAGTGATGCTTCGCTTTAAAATGGGTAGCTCTGGTGTTAATCAGGGCCAGATTCTACATTCTCCTTGTTTCTTCACCACTCCCCTGTCCTTTCGTTGGAGGCTTTCGCCCTCATTGGGTAGTGTCAATTTGTCCCTGGTGAGGTCCACCGTCACTCTATCCCAAGAGCCCCGTGGACTTGGGGTCCTAATGTTTTTGTGTTTTGTTGTTTTTCCTTGTTGCTGGGTATTTTGTAAAAATTTTACCATGGAGCTAGAGTCTTCTGAGAACAGAGCAAAGAACCTACATGGGTTCTTGAGAATGGTCAGGCGGGCACTGACTCGGCAGTTAGGGATTTTATGTGTGGGATGTTGGTGCTAGGGAACATTAGACTCTCTGGAGCTGGAGTACAGGCAGCGGACAGCTGACAGCTGCCTGGTGTGGGTGCTGGGACCAGACTCAAAGCTGGGTCCTATAGAAGGGGAGCAAGTACTCTAAATCATCAAGCTGCCTCCCTGACCCGTTTGAAATTTTTAGTTAGAGATTAGGTATTCATGTTCCTTTTATCCTGTAGCTCCAACTTGACTAGAACACTGACAAAAGGTCAGATTTAGGTGTACACAGCATCGAAGTGTTATGACAGAAAAATAGGAGATGGGCTAAGTTGAATCAGATGAGTCAGGAGCCATTTATTTACTGATTGATTGATAGATCACGTGGGCCAGGCAAGTGCTTCACTAGTGAGATAAATCCCCAACCCGAGTCATGTCTTAAAAGAAAATTTATCAACTTATACATGCTTCTGAAGAAAAGAAAGAATAAGTAAAAGTCCCATGCAGAGCCGGGCGTTGGTGGCACACGCCTTTAATGCCAGCACTCGGGAGGCAGAGGC